ACATAAGATATATATATATATATCTATTCTCTTTTTATTGTATATGCAACCTATAATAAACTACTGGAAATTTTAATAATTCTAAAAGTCAAACACTACTAACATGACTAACCTCTCTGCAGATTTTATTACTTACAAAGGAGGGTGGGGTGATAGGTGTGACTTAACTGACTAATTCCAATAATGGCGTCTTTAGTACAAGGGGAGGACAGTGAAAGCAGCGAAGATGAAATCAACACTGACATGCTGCCGTCTCATCCAAAAGGAACAATAATGACAGGAGAAGAAGAGGAGGACGAGGATGAAGGTAGACATGATTATTGTTAATTTTTATAAGATATCATTAATTTTGTAGACATTGATAGTTCTGTACAGGATCAGGGAAAGGAAGAGGGCGGGTCAGTCATAAGTGGGGATTCACCTTCTCTTCTCCGGAAACCTCAATGGGTACCTCCTTCGTAAGCTATCATCCATTATCATACATTAATAATGACACGACACTCTTATTATAATAGGTTGCTCCACAAGAGATTAGGTAACAATGATTTATAGTGTCTTATTACACATTTTTATTTCGTGTTTAAATTAGGTGATGCTAATATTAACCTCCGTAAGAATATTGTTGATAGAATATTAAAACTGTATCGACTAACGTGTCAAAATTTGACCATTGTTAATGATAATTTGAGTAGAGCACAAGTTGTTATAGAGGTATGATGTTTCTGTTATGCGTATTATTTTTATTAATTTTTTTTGTTTATAGAAAGTCAATGCTAATGTGAAGAAGAGTGATCATGATTTAGCTCAATTGAAAGCTAATTTGGACGACATTTTTGAATCTGCCAATTCGCTGGCACCAAATCTAAATGTTACTGAGAAAGGCAATGTCTAATTAATAACACTTTGTGCGTGTGTGAAGTGTGTGTTTTAAAAATTATTAGTTTATATTCACAATGCTTAAAATTTTTTTTCATAATAATAAGTTTACTTCCATGGATTCCCATGTGGCTTGATATGAGACAAGGCGACCATAACTAATAGAGAAGACACAGCAACAATAAATATGTGCCAAGTAAATAATGCTTACTGCAATAAAGGTGAATGTTGATGACATCTTTTTGAATCATATCTTGTATGTTATCATTATGTTTCTCCTTTGTTTTCAAGAAATGCCGGAAGTATAAGTAATAGACTAAGTAAAAATTGAACTCACTGTTTTAGTTTTATCTGATAATTTTGTATTAGATCTTGTCGATGGTCTTACTAGCAGTAATGATGAATATGGTTGTGCTGTAGGGAGTGGAGGAGGGGGAGGAGAAGCAGAAGAAGAAGGAGTGTGGGCTACATTTGTCAATCTAATCACAGCCTCTTGTGTAGAGTGACTTGTCTTCTTTGATAACTTCCTTACTAATGAAGACATTTATGCTGACTCATCTGTACCAAATGAGCCAATGAAGTTATGATAACAATTATCAGGTGAATGATGTGACTATAGTAGTAGATTTTGAATAACAGATATTGAGCTCCAATAGATTAGAGCACAGTATAACTATGAAAGAAGTATACATACATGAAAGGATTATTAGAACATTTAAAAACCAACCCTCTTCTGGAATGTCGACTCAACGCCCCCACAATAATCGCCAATTATCCATATNTGTGATCATATTCTCATATATGTGACATTGGTGGTGGACTGCTTGGGCCTTCCTGTAGGCTGTA